CCGCAGGGCTGGCTCTCTCACATCCCCCTTCCTCACCAACACAAACAAAACAAAGAGACTCAATCAACCCCTTCTTTCACTCTTAAATAGTCGTTCGCAGTGGCGCCATTGGCCTGGCCTTGCCTAGAGGCGGGTCCGAAATTGGAGCTGGGGGAGCTTCTCGTAGCCCCTCACAGGAGCCGCCTCAGTAGCCCCCTCCCTCGCTGCCAAAACCGCGCCAGGCACTGAACCACCACAGGTATCAAGAGCATTTTGGTTGTCGTGCTTAGTAGAAGCAATGTCAGAAGTATGTGCAAAGCTGTCTCTTGGGGACCTTTTTTGCTTCGGTTATGAGTTACTTGATAAGAGAATTTGAAGTACTTGTGGAAACTACAGAATGATTCGAAGTTGAGGCTTCAAAAAAAAGCGGAGGGACAGAATGCTTCCTAGTCCGTATTCAGTAACCGTTGGGTACTTCTTTATCACTTCCATTGATTATGCTTCAAAGTATGCTTTCTGAGTGGAAAATTCATGTCATGTTTCACCTGAAATTATTTTTTTTTTCTAATGCAGGATCTGTGTATTGGTATTTCGTATTGCTGAATTATGTAAAGGATGAAGATTTGGCAGGATGTAGTACGACTTGTGCGTCATTGCTGACTGCTGTATCCCGACAGCTGCAGGATCGCCTCACGCCTATGGAAGCATTACTTCAAACAAGGTACTAAGTTGTTGTAAACTTCATAAAAACAAACATACAAACTGTCTAATGCCATTCTCTGGTGTTCTGAAAAAGGCTGGCTGTTTGAAAACAGCATTTTGCTGTGTGTATTTGAGCAAGGATTAATTTGGTCCAGCTCTGGAAAATAGTTTTTACTTCTGCAAAGTTAAAGGTGAATTTAATCGCTGTCTTGCAATTTACAGTGCACTTTAAATCAGCAATTGTGTATGTAATGTAATGTCTGTGCAAGACTTAAATTAGTATTCATGATTTTTAGTGTAAGGATTAACAAAGCATGTCCTGTTTGAGTACGGGAGGGAATCAAATATACTGAATAGTTTCAGTTCTGCGTAATGCTGCACAAGATTGTAGTCTCTCTGTAAGATGACCATACGTTTAATGTGTAGCTACTAATGGCCAGATTCAAAGCATAGAGACCTGGGGATACAGATTCTTATTATAAATTATGTGTCAATGTAATTTCAGACTAGTGTTCCGTCTTTTACATATTGAACTGATTGGCCATTTAACTTTGGATTTACATGATACCTGCAGGAAGTCTCTGGTGGTTCAGTTTTGTAGCAGTTTCCATAGCAGTTTCCAAAGCTGTATTATGATCATAGGAATGTGCTGCTGTTAGACAGTTCTTTCAGTTGTGATTTGTGGGCAAGAGTTTTCCTCCAAATCGAGCAAGAACAAGGTAGAAGAGGTTTGGTAGAGGTTACTTCAGAATCTTCAGACCAAATTAAAAATTTAGTAAGCTATGTTTTGGAGGGGATGGATCTTTTTTTATTGTAAGGGACTATAATCCTAAAATACTTGATAAAAACTTGGATCCTTACCATGGTTCTCTACTACATTCATCTTCTCAGTTGTTATTTTATTTCACCATCTGTAATCCTTGGAGTTGTTTAGAACGCTTATTCCAGTAGTAGAAATGGTGACTGGATAATGGAGAATTTTGAAATTTACACAAAGTGAACTGGAAGAATAGAAAGTTTTGTGTTTTCGTGTTGAATTTTCTTTAGAAACCCAATGGAGGAGAAAAATGTGAAAATTCCCCTTGATGTGAGCATGGCACCTTTCTGTAAGAATTGACTAGTTCCTTCATATAGATTGTTTCCAAGTACCTCCTTTGAACAGCATAGCTGAAATACAAGTGTCTTTCCTTTCCAGTTGCCTGCCTTTAGGTCTGGCACATGTGACATTTCAGATCCCTTAGTGGTGAACACAGCTGTCTGCATCCCAAGGGAAGCTTTCCTAAGAGAGGCCCTGCCCTGTTCTTGACATCCATCAAGCTTAGGGTTTATGAATGTTTCTGGGTAGTGTTTTATTGATTTTTCTTCTTGGAACTAAATTTCCTTTCACTTTTGACTCAGTATCCCCATGGTCAGGGTAAGAATAGCAGACACATCTGTCTAATCCTGTATTTGATTACTGTAGTGCTCTCTCTAGCAAGGACTGACTATTACTTGACTTAGTTTACTAATTTTGACAGAATGTACTGGCCTTTCCTTTGTATGTCTACAGATCAAAAGAGTGCTGTCGTTTTTGGTTTTTTTTTTTTAATGTAGAAGATAAGTATTAATACAGATTTTTATTTTTTTAATAAAAAGAGAAATTAGTAGGCAGCCATTGCTTTACTGTTTGGTTTTTTTTTGGTTTTTTTTGGTTTTTTTTTACCTTCCCTCTCCCTGAGTTGTGTTTTACCGTATTTGTGTTGCAGAGTTTCTAGTATTATTTCATTCTTCTTTGTACTGTTCTCAGGTACAATAGACTAACATTTGGTAATCGATTAAAAGCAGTTGTCTGCTTAAAGGATAGGTACATTCATGCTGTCTTAAGGCAGAGTAGTACTTGTTTTACTATCATGTGCTGCAATAAAGCAAGTAAAACTTGCAAGGATAAGGCCAGATGGGTGTATTACATGACATGCAGTTTGGAGAACAGAAAAGGGATTTCAGACCGTATTTTAAGCTGTCCTACAACAAGGCGGGTTGGTTTGTCTCTAGCAAATCTGATTAATTTCTCCAGCCTGTTCTTGAAAGCACCTGATAAAAGTAGTGTTGGAATTTAATTATTCTAAATATTGTAAGCTATTACATGGCGTAATTTATTCTTACCATTAACACTTGAACTGTCTCCTTCTGCCCATGTCTAATCTGAAATTTCTCCTGCTACAGCTAAAGCCTTTTAATGTTTGTGTCCTGTCCACCTTGGCAGCAAAGAGCAGATTATTTAATTTTTAAGAAATTTTGGATATCTAAAGGATGTTTGTATGTTGATCATATTCTCCAGATCTGTAGTCATTCTTAAAGCATTTCCTTGAGCTGTTTTTTTTTTAGTACTCGTCTTCCTTGAATTGTGGTACACAAAATCGTAAACGTTATTCCAGTTGAGATCTCTGGTGAGTGAAGCAGAAGAGGTATTTCAGGTAGATTATATTCATTACTGCATAGATGAATAGAGTCATGGTTTTTTATGTGACACTGTTGATTCATTCTTTGTTTTTTGTTGATGTAACTTCTGCATCCTTTTCTGAGAAGTGTTGCTGATGCAGCTTAAAATAGTGAACCTG